AAATCTTCCGATTGTGGTGCCCCCACCGCTAGAAGACGAGATTTCTCCTTTCCTGAGGGATTGCTGAGCATTGTTTTGGCGATTTTTTTCCACGATCGGTTTGTCCCAGTGAGGTTGTTTCTGCTCTCTGGGAGGCGCTGTCCTGATTGAAGAGTCTGCAATGGTGCTCTTTGAGTGGCTGTTGTGAAGAACTTCGAGTCTTGAGCTCCTACAGCACCTCTTAAGCGTTCGGGGACAATTTCCTATACTCATTCACTGGAAGACATACAAGAGGACAGAAATGCAAGAATGCTACCTGCGTTGCTTTGCGCTTCCCTGTATCTCCCAGTCGCACTGGAAGAGTTGCTTGATCCCACTGGTGATATTCCTGAAGATAGATCTCAGGAGTGCGCAATATTCACTGAGCGTTGCGTTGTCAAAAGAGGGTTCGCACCTCAAGAAGTAAGTTAACCTTCGTAGAATTAGACACATTGTAAGGAGATACATGACGTCATGGACATCCAGATCACTTATTCTCTCCCTCATCCTTTTCCTGTCTCTGGTACATTAATTACTGTTTCTGGTACAATAATTACTGCCTCTGGTACATTAGTTACTGCCCTGGTACATTAATTACTGCCTCTGGTACATTAATTACTGCCTCTGGTACATTAATTACTGCCTCTGGTACATTAATTACTGCCTCTGGTACATTAATTACTACTCTTGTATCGTAATTATTGCCTTTGGTACCATAATTACTGTCTCTTGTACCTTATTAATAACTACCTCTTTAGGTTCCTCCTCTTACTAATTCCTCTTTCTCCTTAGTGCTCTGCGAGAGGACAAAGAGTAGAAGGAGGAGGAGGAGGAGGAGGAGGAGGAGGAGGAGGAGGAGAAGGAGAAGGAGTAGGAGTAGGAGTTAAGGGGCATCTTAAGGATTTCTTCGCTCGGGAAAGAGGTCATTATTTTCTGGATGATCCTTCAGTACGTAATGGAAGGTCCTGGACCACTCATTACTGCACCCTAAGGTCCCTCTCACTCACCCTAAGGTCCCTGTCACTCACCATACGGTCCTTCTCATTCACTCTAGGGTCCCTCTCACTCACCCTAAGGTCCCTCTCACTCATCCTAAGGTCCCTCTCACTCTCCCTAAGGTCCCTTTCACTCATTCTAGGGTGTCCCTCACTCTCCCTAAGGTCCCTCTCACTCTCCCTAAGGCCCCTCTTACTCACCCTCCGGTCTCAATCACTCACCCTACGTTTTCACTCACCCTACGTTCTCACTCACCCTACGTCTCACTCACTCAACTTACGGTCTGACTCATTTACTCACTTTCGGACTCGCAGTTAGACTCAGGCTCTCCTCCCATTACGTCTCATGTTTGCATAATCTGAGCTTTTCCATTATCCTCCTACCACTCAGCACTCCAGTCAGTCTCTCTCTCTCTCTCTCTCTCTCTCTCTCTCTCTCTCTCTCTCTCTCTCTCTCTCTCTCTCTCTCTCTCTCTCTCTCTCTCTCTTCTCTCTCTCTCTCTCTCTCTCTCTCATCTCCTCTCTCTCTCTCTCCTCTCTCCCCTCTCTCTCTCTCCTCTCATCTCTCTCTCTCCTCTCTCCTCTCATCTCCTCTCTCTCCCCATCTCTCTCTCTCTCCTCTAACTCTCTCTCTCTCTCCTGTCTTTTTATAGCTTGATGGAATAGGGATTCATTAGAGAATATCGTTTTATGGATGGCATTAAACCACACACATCCTTACACACAAACACACACACACACACACACACACAACACACACACACACACACACACACACACACACACACACACAACACACACGCACACACACACGGGGATGTTAGGAAGTATTTCTTAGGTCACAGAGTTGTCAGGAAGTGGAATAGTCTGAAAAGTGAGGTAGTGGAGGCAGGATCCATACATAGCTTTAAGAAGCGGTATGATTAAGCTCATGGAGCAGGAGGAGTGACCTAATAGCGACCAGTGAAGAGGCGGGGCTAGAAGCAGTGAATCGACCCCTACAACCACAACTAGGTGAGTACACACGAGTGCATAGTGGATGTCACTGGCAAATTGGAAAATATGAGAAAGAAAAACACTGACCGCTGATAATAACATTTACGCAAATGAAGCTTAACGAACGACTTACGACATCGTAATAACACGATTGCAAATACAATAACCGAGCGGCTGGGACACTAATCCACGGTGAGTCCTGAACCTCTCAGGTCAGTATGTCATCCACTGGATCACGCTGCTCTAATAAGATTCATCCAACTTGGGAGGTTAGCATGAGCCACCACTACAGGTTCTCGCAGATCAATTTCACGCTGTGGCGTGCTCTAGCTCAAGTCCCCTCGAAACATGTATCATGACGCACGAAATCATAATGACACGATTACAACCAAATCACACAGCAGTTGCGGACCGAACCCGTGATAGGGAAGTCCGAAAACTGGCAGGGCAGTGTGTTAACCACTGGGCCACGGTGGTATAATAAGATTCATCCGCTAGGTATATATTACTATACACCACAGGCAGGGTAGCATGGACGTCAGGATGATGTGATAAAGAAACCCTGGGATTCAAAGAAATTGGAAAGCTGTAAGGATATACAAATTATATAAGACGTTTCGGAGAGAATGAAAATGGGATAAAAACAAAAAAAGTTTATTGAAAAACAGGAATACGAGACTAAATAATAGAGAAATATTTAATAGAAGATACTAGACAAATATAAAAAAAGGACTTGCAGCTAACATAGAAAGTAGGAAAATGAAGAAACTTGTCATAGATTAAAATAGGTTTGTAGTTTATGAGGAAAGAGGGGGAAAAAAAGCCTTGTAGAGGAAACAATAGACAAGAACAAGAATAGAATCAAAACTTTGATTTACGTTTGTCAAAGAAAATAATAGAGACAAAATTCAGAGAAAAAAAAGGACAATGAAAAATATTACTAACATTGAGGCGTAAAAGTAGCAGCGGATTTTAATACTAAGCAAATAACTGAACTGGAAGATAAAGAAATAACCGAATATGAAGTTATTACTATTGGATGCTGTCAAGGGAAGAAACAAAAGGACCAGACGGGATAACGCCTTAGGTGTTAAAAGAATATGCAGAAGAATTTTCCAGTACAGTTCTGGATTTTTTTGCGGATTTCACTACAAGATGGTAAACTGGCGGGCAACCAGAAGACTGCACATTGTGACAGTGTTTCTGAAAGGTGACAGGGATGAAAATTTTGGTTGACACGTGTTGTAAAAATACTGGAAAAATTCAAAATTACGGCAGTGTGGGTTACTTGTAAAGTGTTCCATCCACGGTACTGTGCGTTAGTTGCATAATGTTCCAGAAACGACAATGTGGGTTATGAAGTGTTCCAGCCATAGTACTGTGAGTTATAAAGTGTTCCAGCCATAGTGCTGTGAGTTATAAAGTGTTCCAGCCATAGTACTGTGAGTTTATAAAGTGTTCCAGCCATAGTACTGTGAGTTATAAAGTGTTCCAGCCATAGTACTGTGAGTTATAAAGTGTTCCAGCCATAGTACTGTGAGTTATAAAGTGTTCCAGCCATAGTACTGTGAGTTATAAAGTGTTCCAGCCATAGTACTGTGAGTTATAAAGTGTTCCAGCTGTAGTACGGTGGGTTACGAAGTGTTCCAGCCATAGTACTGTGGGTTATGAAGTGTTCCAGCCATAGTACTGTGAGTTATAAAGTGTTCCAGCGGTAGTACGGTGGGTTACGAAGTGTTCCAGCCATAGTACTGTGGTTGATGATGTGTTCCAGACATGGTACTGTGGGTTATGAAGTGTTTCAGCCATAGTACTGTGGGTTATGAAGTGTTTCAGCCATAGTACTGTGGGTTATGAAGTGTTTCAGCCATAGTACTGTGGGTTATGAAGTGTTTCAGCCATAGTACTGTGGGTTATGAAGTGTTCCAGCCATAGTACTGTGGGTTATGAAGTGTTTCAGCCATAGTACTGTGGGTTGTGATGTGTTCCAGCCACAGTACTGTGGGTTAAGAAGTGTTTCAGCCATAGTACTGTGGGTTATGAAGTGTTTCAGCCATAGTACTGTGGGTTATGAAGTGTTCCAGCCATAGTACTGTGGGTTATGAAGTGTTTCAGCCATAGTACTGTGGGATGTGATGTGTTCCAGCCACAGTACTGTGAGTTATGAAGTGTTTCAGCCATAGTACTGTGGGTTATGAAGTGTTTCAGCCATAGTGCTGTGGGTTATGAAGTGTTTCAGCCATAGTACTGTGGGTTATGAAGTGTTTCAGCCATAGTACTGTGGGTTATGAAGTGTTTCAGCCATAGTACTGTGGGTTATGAAGTGTTTCAGCCATAGTACTGTGGGTTATGAAGTGTTTCAGCCATAGTACTGTGGGTTATAAAGTGTTTCAGCCATAGTACTGTGGGTTATGAAGTGTTCCAGCCATAGTACTGTGGGTTATGAAGCGTTCCAGCCATAGTACTGTGGGTTGTGATGTGTTCCAGCCGCAGTACTGTAGGATGTGATGTGTTCCAGCCACAGTACTGTGGGTTGTGATGTGTTCCAGCCACAGTACTGTGGGTTGTGATGTGTTCCAGCCACAGTACTGTGAGTTATGATGTGTTCCAGCCACAGTACTGTGAGTTATGATGTGTCCAGGCACAGTACTGTGGGTTGTGATGTGTTCCAGCCACAGTACTGTGAGTTATGATGTGTTCCAGGCACAGTACTGTGGGTTATGATGTGTTCCAGCCACAGTACTGTAGGATGTGATGTGTTCCAGCCACAGTACTGTGGGTTGTGATGTGTTCCAGCCACAGTACTGTGGGTTGTGATGTGTTCCAGCCACAGTACTGTGAGTTATGATGTGTTCCAGGCACAGTACTGTGAGTTATGATGTGTTCCAGGCACAGTACTGTGGGTTGTGATGTGTTCCAGCCACAGTACTGTGTCATGCATTCCAGTTTATTATTATTTAATATAATTATGATAAACACTGCGGTACTTACCACGGAGGCGGTGGTGAGAGTGTCGTGCTTGAGAGAGACTGGAGCCGCTCTCAGGGATGCCCCGGGCGTGGGCTTGGAAGTGGATGTGGGCGGGTGTCTTGACCCCCACCTGAGTCTCAGACCACAGCAGCACCACCAGCAGACCACTCACCACACTCACACCCACCACCGTCCGAAACAGCGCCACCATGCCTGCGGAAGAAAAGTCCAATAACCTTACTAACACCCTAGTCACGGGAAAGCGATAAAATTTTTAAGTGATCGTGCTAATGTAGTTCCTGAAGCAAGATACTGTTGACTAAGGCCTGCCCCGGCATACTCCAGTAAGTATTATGTACACTTAGGTACAGGTACACAAAAGTACAATTATCATACATAGTAACATGCAATAATCGCGATCGAGTGATAAAATATACAAAATAACTACAGGGGGAGTTGATTGATAGCTCTAGGCCTTTCGTGTTGCAATTAGCACATCACCAGGAGCTGGAAATGTTGCGGAAATGAGTAGGAAATCCGGGAAAATTCGTTCAGGGAAATGACTCTATCCATAATGGATAGAGTCAAGGCACCTCTATGAAGGGACAGTATCCCATCTACGTTGTCCCGTGGCTATGTTGGCAACGCATTCGCCTCAAACACCGAGTGTCCGTACTTGGGTGTTAGTCTACTGGTGTGGGTTGCATTCTGGGGGACAAGATTAAAGAACACTAATGGAAATAAGATAGAAAGTCCTCAATGATGCATTGACTTTCTTGGGTTAACCTGGGTGGTTAACTCTTCCCCGGGTTAAAATTCCCAACAAATCATATCTCTCTCACATTAACATATTATAGAGCGAAATAATAATTTTATTCATCGTTCCATTCATCACCAGGTAACTACATCATCACATTCATCACTTATCTCTAGGTTTTAATAAGCAACGCAGGAAAAAAATAAGCATGATAGAAAAAAACACATTAAATCTAATTTAGAAGAAAGTGTCAAATGTTATCAAAGATCCGGTTTAAATTTATATGAAAATATTCGAGGACAACGACACTAGAACAATGGTACCTTGATGGCAGTGAAAGGCTCTTGATCCAAGAAAGTTCTGCTGCCCTCCTGCCCTCTTGGATAGTCTACCAAAAGTATATAAAACATGGGAGCAAGAGATAGTGTTTAAAAAATGCAGATGTCCATTCACAAACAGATGTTTGAAACTATCTAAGACCACAAGGTGCTTAGCCAGACCACCCCAGTCATAGCACTAATACCCCACGTGTGGGGGCTGGCCCAGGCTCCCCGTCATGCACATACCCACAGTGTGGTGGCTGGCCAGGTCCCCGTTTGCATAATACCACGTGCTGGTGTGGCCAGGCTCCCCAGTCATAGATAAAACCACAGTGTGGTGCTGGCCGGCTCCCAGTCATAGCACTAATACCAAGTGGCTGGTACTGGCCCAGGCCCAGCCGTGGCCAGGCCGCGCTTTGGCAGGCCCCGCCGCTGACCCGACCCAGCCCCAGCCCCAGCCCCAGTGCCGATCAGATCCAGCCACAGCCTTACTGCCGCCCAGGGCTCTCCTAGGGACACTACCAAACCACCCAAAAACGTAATATACAACCCATCTAAAACCGTAATATACAACCTCATTGCAAGACCCTGGCCCAGTCAGATGTTGGAGAGGAGTCTCCTCCTTCTTCCTCTACTTGGGGAAAGTAGATGGAATTCCGGCGGGGTGGCCTGGCTTGGATATGAGGTATAGTGCCCGTCCCGAACCTGCAGAAATTGGGCCAAACACACTCCCAAAAATTTCAACCAAGGTGGAATTTGTGCAAATATTATGCTGGGGGCATTGAAGCATGGAATAACAGGGGAAAAATGGGACATGCACTTTGACCATCCCAAAAAGTGTAGCGACCTCCTGTAAAGGAGGTGGGTCGTTCTCTTCTGTACCTTTCCTTCACCAAAAATGTGCCCCTCCTCGGTCCTCCAGAAGCAGTGTTACCCAAACGAGTGCCCTGCATACATCTAAAAGGGGCCCGGAGGCACGACCCACAAGACAAACAATAGTAGCTACGACACCAACTCAGGGATTTTTAGTGGCAGGAACGAAAAAAGAAAATGGGGAAGGGAAAAACAAAAATTTCCCACCTTGGAGCCTTGTTGGACTGGGGGGGTGCAGCCGTGGCCCCCGGCCTCCAGAAATTTCAACTAACCAAAACAAAACCCCC